CTGTTCTAAGTGAACTCACAGAACTCAAGAAAACTGAAGGCATTAGCACAACCCATTGACATGAAAATCACTTTCTAGCATAACTGAATACAAGTAGCATTCCTTTACCAGGGAGGGGGTTCAGTGAAGGGTGATCACTGATATCTGATGAGTAATGAGGGTATGTCTCATCTTCCTTCTAACTCAATGACCAGGTTACACTTTTTGGTCTAATCTTCGGTTGAAACTGCTCAATTTTTTTCCCAGCAGCTGACTTTAGCCTAACTTAATAATCCAAAAGCTAATAAAGTTGGGACTTACATAGTCCAGTTTGATGAAGTAAATACCAGAACCAGGCTCTTCAGGGCTTCTGGTTTCTTTTGTGCAGTTGATGAGTAAAAATTGCTTTCATTTCCTCTTTCTCACTGCTTAAGAAACTCCAACATTTACGTCAGTCTTTTACTTTGTTTCGTTTCGTTTCTGAGGGACTGATTTGTTTTAATGATACTCACACACTTTCCCTTCAGAGAGGTTTGTGGCCTTGGAGGCAGCCATCTTAATCCCACCTGACAGTTAGTCGATGAACTGTAATATTGTGCACATGGGACTTTCTGGTGAAACTGTTGTCACACATGCAGCTTTGCATCAATTATTAAAGGTGCTAAGTAGTTTTGGCTTGTAAGTGAACTAACTATTTGCTTAATCTGTAAAAAAAAATGCACTCAGGTTTCACTCTGTAGTTTTTTGACCATTCTTAAAGGAAATAGTCTTTTTTTTTTTAGTTCACACACTCCCCATTGACCTATTTTTCTATGTATCAAATGCCTACATACTGTAGCAACCATACAAATTTGCTAAGAGCAAGCCTAAGTAATTGCCATCATGTTGAATCTTTTTCCAATCATGCATAGTCCTAACATTAAACTAACTCAAACTTATCATGCTCATACTAAGTGAAATCACAAAATTCAAGAGAACTGAAGACATTAGCACAAGATTAGCCTGGTGTATACTATACTGGTGTAGTATAGTTGTGTTGAAAAATCCCTATTGTATGTTGTTTCACCAAGAACAGCATTATTATCCATCCTTCGGTTTGTTTTGCTAACAAACCCAACGGTTTGTTAGTGGCTGTTCATTGTTTGTAGAACCATATAAAGGATTTTAGATCACTGCAGCACTGATGGATACAACATCTGCTTGTGGGACTGAAACTAATTGCAGGGATTGTGTGCTGCAGGTTGTTGTGCTGTCCTACCGTTTAGTTGTTCTCATGTGAACAGTACAGATCAAGACAAACAGATCTTTGTGCCAACTAAGAAATCTCAGTAGCGAGACTTCAAAAGTTGGAAGAAAATAATCTAGTTTTTCAGAAAAAAAAACTAGATTTTTTTCTGAAAAATCTAATTTATTTTGCATGAGGTTATTTTTAACGTTTTGGATTGATCATTGTTTCTGATCTTTTCTGGAATTCTCTTAAGTGTTCATATAAACATTTCTACTGAAAACAAACAGCCAGGTAAAATCCAACTGAACTTCCATGATTATGTACTCTTCACTGTTGTAACCCCATGAAACTGGGTTTATGTTTCTATCACTTGACGTATTTAGTAAACCACAAAATGCCGCCAGCTATTTCAGAGTGTTATGGTCTAAGTTTCACTTTTAGGCGGTGTTGCTGGGGATTTTCAAGAGATGGTGTGATGTCACAGTGCCTGAGGTAGATATTGATGCTAACAGATGTCATTGTTTAGATTATGAAATGCTTGATTTTTGAAATCAAGCATTTCAAAAATGGTTGATAAAGCATTTTTAGAAATGCTTTATCAAAATGCAGATATGCAAAGAGTCACTGGGAAGTTTTTCATGTGTACTCCAAGTCACATAAAGCTTATAAAGCTGCCATCAAAGCTGTAGTAACAGTAACAGTTTAGTAACAGTCAGAATGAGTGAGTGTAAGTAATGCTTGCAATTGCTAGCATACCTTACATTTTTATTTTAACTCTCCAACCTTATCGCAAAAGAATAAAAGGAATTTTACTTTTTAAAATGTTCACTGTTCCATCAGAAGCAACCAGTCAGGGTCCGGAGGAGAGTCTTAGTGCTGTCAATTACACTTGTGTATGTGCTGCTCAGTCTTAGTGCTGTCAATTATACTTGTGTATGTGCTGCTCATCCTCTTCCCCTTTCTCTCTGCAATGCCACAGCTGGTTCACTACAACAAAGTATGGCATGAATGCTCAGACTAGTAGGAATGGATAAATGGTTTTCCTGGAACGGTGACTTGTTTCTCTATCATTAACATATTAAGCAGCATGCACATGAGCTTGATTGACAGCGCTAAGACCTTCTCCCTGGCTCTGATTGGTTGTTTTTCACTGGGAGCAGTGCATTTCTGCAGACACCGATAATAGCACTGGGAGGAGGTGCATGAGCTCAATCTTATCACAGAATATGTGTTTGGTCACAACATGGTGACATTTAACCAAATATGTAAAAAAACATATTTTTGTATAAGTTACATACTGCAGTTTTAAACTGAATCATTTATCACAAACACTACAATTCATTGAACAGTGTTGTCTGTCTGTCTCTATCCATCCGTCCCTCTGTCTAACCAACCAACAAATGATGAACTAAAAGAAAATGAAATGGAGTTTGACAAAGCTGTGCTAAAATTAATGATTCCAGTGGCACATTTTAACTTGCTTATAATGGTCTTGAGTGAATAGGATGTGAGTACACCAATCAAAACACAGTAGTTTACTTTCCTCCACATGCACAAAGTTATTTTTTAGAACATCCAAGTGAATAGTTTTCTTTGACCTTCAATTGTTTGAGAAATGTGAAATGAGCTGTTCTAATACCAGGAATGACCAACCCAAGCCCTGCCTGGCTTCCTCAAGGAAGGCAGCATTCAGTCTAGAAACAAAGGGAGTAACGACTGATTGACAGGCCTTGCTGCCACAGAGTCAAATGAACAAATATTCAACCTTCACTGAAAAGTCCAAATGAATCGGTGGCAGAACATGTGCTGTGGAGAGAGCTGTATTCAAATAACACAGATCAGAATCCCTGGATTTAATGGAAGTGGATTGTGTGTGTATGTGTGTGTGTAAAGGTGGTGAAAGGACTTACAAGAACTGAGCCTTTTACATATGGTCTCATAAGATATTACTAGATGGCGTCTGGCCTGATTTCTGTGCCATCTGTAATGCTGGTGACGACATGCTGTGAGACTTAACAAGATGATACAGATCTCTGAGTTGTGCCAATTCCAAACACAACTCAGTGGTTTCGGGTGGAGTTTTTGTCTTCAAGACAATCTTAAGTATGAGATTACTTCATCACCTGGTCATGTTAGTACACTCTCTTTTTCCAGTGTGTATGTCAGTAGTATTTCCCTGTTAGCCTAATTGTCAGTTTTTATTATCCATCGGGAAAGCTTCATTACGTCCTTTAATAAGATGGCATTTTTACAAGATAGAAACCAAAATGACCACCTGCTTCTGCCGTCGGTTCAGAACTGAGGGAAGATCAAAGTTTCAAAACTACAACTTATCAATTAGGTTTTTTTTTTAATTTCCTGGGTGCAATATTTTCTCTCTTGATTTATCTTTTTAATAATAGAGCATGAGATTGGAAATTACTCCCTCGTTGACAGCTGTCGGTGATGGATGGATATTTTTCTGTGTAATTATCTCCAACAAAAGTGGACAGCGACAGTAAGTGAAATAACAGATTGTGCAGTGCTGCCCTCTTCTGGAGTATTGCTCAAATTGCAGATTGCACTAAAAACAATATCTAACGCCTTGTAATTGTTACAGTTTATTTTATATAATAAAGTATTTTCTGAATGCTTAAAAAACCCAAATGTTTCTTATGATTAATAATTAACTGTCAATAAAGATGCACACAGATAAGCCTTTATCATCTGGTGTAAATGTGTTCAACTGGATACTTTACCGATACATTTTAAAATGTAAAATATTTAAGTGCAATATTTTTCAAAAATAATTATAATATAATACAGTTTTTCCTGCAATAGACTCATGGAACCATGTGAAATATTAGAAAACAAAATGTGCAAGTTTTAGCAGTGAAAGAGATTACACTGATGGATCATCATAACTTATTGTTCTATTGAGCAATAAGTTAATCATTTTTCTTCTTGTTGTAAAAATGTACCACCTCAAATTACAGGATGTCAAATATTTTTCAGATTTCAAAATGTGCTTCCAGGCAGATTCACCAGCAGGTGTCATGCTCACTCGCAAAGTAAATTAGATTTAGATTTTACAGTAATAGTGCATAATAGCTCTGTAGCATTTAACCCGTGGCTATAACATAACATCAGAATCACCACAGTTGGGTGCATGTAGCACGGCATGTCTACAATATCACAATTCTGCCTATTACGATTCTCATCCTGCAACTTCTATTTGTATGATTATGAGGTGAAGGTTTAGTGCTGCGGTAAATCCCAACTGCATTCACTATGGTTGTGCAGAAATACACAAGAAAGCACTTTCTTTAGAGCTGAAGCTGGAAAACGATTTAAATCTAACATAAAACTGTCAGGAACCTGTCCCACCTGACAGTACATGCAGAAATTATAAATATGTTATTAATAAAAGAACACTGTCTGGTCTATTGATTGCATAACAGTTAAATTAGCAAAGTAAATCCTTAATTTCTCAACTGAAGGCAATTTCTTCTAAATAAGAAATTGCCTTCAGTTTTATCCACAGTTTTGGTTTTTCCATTTAAATTTTAATAACAGCCATTCCACTTCATGACTTGTGTGACATGCACGTGGCCTGTCCATGTAGTTATTTTCCAAGGTTTTATGATCATCAAACAACTGCAGGTGGGAATAAACACAACAGCACAGAAGGCTTTCATATCCTGTTCCATCACCTCGCAAAGCCACCCTCTGGCAGCTGATTGGCTGCAAATCCTCCAATGACAATGCGCCCTGGCTCCGCCCGCCACATCACAGGCATGGCGGAGAACGACGCAGGAATTCCGTCCATGCGCGGATGACAGCGTCGCTGATGACCCCGTCCCGTGGCAACGCAAAGCTGTTGCCCAGCGACCAGCGGTGATCCCCGTAGCTCAGCTAGCCAGCTGTGAGCCACTCGGCAGAAAGCGTATCGACACACAGCTGTTTTGCGCCACCTGGTTTGTGTCAGAACCTCTCAGACCGTGGATGAAGTAACACGTTGATGTTCTCAGTTGGACCTGTGCCTTTTTTTTTTTTTTCCACCCGAGGGTCAGACTAACGAACTAGCGTAGCGGAGTGCTCTCGACCAGCCAACAAAGATGAGTCTCGTCGAAATGTTGTCCTTGGACGAACTGTCAGATGGACTGGCAAACTTGCCCATGTTTCCTTATTTTGAGATCGCGCACTATGTCGTGTCAGTGGTGGCCTTGAGGGAGCAGCCAGGTGAGTGAAAAGTTCGAGCGCCTGCCTAATTTACAAGTGTGTGGGGGCTGAAACTCTAGTTTTCCTTGTTTTGATACTTCAACAGTTAAACCTGTTAAACGTTCAGCGTTGCAGCAACGTAAGCAAACACAGCGGGTGTCATGGCAGTTAGAATGCAGACTGACCATTATTTAATTTAATCAGCCTAATTGTGCAGTTTACTGAACACTATTAATAAGTATTTAGTATTTATTTTTCATGTTTATGTCTTGTTTGTTTTATCTTGTGAAGCTTATAGAAGAAACGGAATATTTGAACTTTTTTTTAGTTGTTATTTTTCAATCTTAACTTGGAAAAGAACTTCCGCTGTCTCTATTGGAATGACTAAATATTTGAATATTTAGTTCCATTTATGTCCCATAGATACTTTTGATTTTTGTTTTATTATTATTATTTTTTATTGCATCTTTATGATGAAGGCCTTTGCTAGCAGAAAATGTGTATTTAGTGGGCTGGAGATAAGTGTACATAGCAAAATGGTCAAAAGATCTGTAAAAACATATGACTTGCTCTGAAAAAGGTTAAATGTAACTTTCCAGACATACCAACGACAGGTCATGTATGTGGGGTTTAGAAATAATCTTTATAAGCTTACATTGTGATTTACGTTACTATGCTTGTACTACAACTTGTAAAATATGTAACTGCGAAATCATAAAACGGTGCTTAGTTTGTAAACTATTTTAAAATGCTGATATTAATAGTTCAAATTCAATAATTGTGTTTGCTCTGTTGTTTTGTTTAGTGGTTAGAAATAGTAATTTGTAATAGTACTTTACAAACAGTTACCTTTTAAAAATGCAATCATATTACTGAATAATTTTTTATCTAGTTTATTTTTGTAATTTGCGATGGAATCCAGGTGTTACGCAAGCTAATTCGCAATCTCCCTTATGTCAGATCAGTAGATCTTTTGGGTATATTGATACTTAAAATCATCACCTAATAGGCCATAAAGTTGACAAAAAAAATCTCTTTGCCTTCAGGTAAATTATGTAGCATTTTGGCAAATCGAAACTTTAGCAGTTAGCACCAGCTATGTCATGAACAGGAAGGAAGAAATAGATAACATAATAATCTGGTCATGTTCTTATTAGAATCAGATATTTTCAGATTGCTGACAGGCAAAGCAAATAAAAACGTTTCCTGAGGAGATGGTGAAGTGTGTAACGTAATCAACAGCAACGTGATTGAATCAAAATGGTAATTTCAGATTTTAGTGGCAAACCTAATTACATCCAAAGTCAGTCATTGATTATTATAAAATTTTGCTATGATGCCGGTGAGATTGACTGACTGGCGACCTGTCCAGGGTGCACCCCGCCTCTCGCCCGGAGCGCTCCCGACCCCACTTGGGACAAGGGTGAACAGATAATGGATGGTTGGATTACCAAATGCATTGCAAATTATAAATTAACCTAGATATTTCTGCATTTATGTGTTTACAATGGCCACTTGTCGAGCTATAGATGTGATAGAATCCTGATAAAGCATTATTGTGTTATCAGGTTAATGCAATAACTCTACTGTTAAGTGAAGATGTTAACTGTTAAGTGGATATATATATATATATATATATATATATATATATATATATATATATATATATATATATATATATATATATATATATATAAAAAGACATTACGTTTTCCTTATTAAAAAAAATTTGGTCAAAGGTGAAGACACCTCTGGGTCATCTCCAGAGATATGTGTTGTTTTATTTTTATAATTCAATGGTTGCTTTAGAGGTGTGTTAAACATCACAGCTGGGGTATGTTAGATAAGACTGGCCTGCTCCAAATTTATGAACCCACCCAGCTGCTTTGTCAGCTTTATATTTTCTTCCTTTGGTCTCTGCTGAGGCATGACTGCACTTTTGTTCATTTAAGGTTTGGATTCTCACAGTACTGCTGACAGTGTGCCAGTCCAGAAAGAGAAATAAAACATCATTTTTATGAGGACCGTATGCACACATCAAGCAGCCTCCACAAAACCATAGTTCTGCACTGACAGGTTTAAATCCAACATGAGCATCTTGAAGTGGTCATTGCCACTGTGGAACTAGATCTAGGACATTTATAACAATAAATTACTAACTACCATTTATTCTCCAACAATTATATTAATTATTTTTTCAAGTGACTGATTGACAACATTAGCAGATTAGTCTCAAAGTAACAAACACATGTTGATACTTGGAAAATGAAAGAAAAAAGAGAGTTACTGCTTCTTCTCAAGTGTTTGAATAAGGCTTGTTCAAGTGTTTTGCCAAGCTCAAAACAGAAAGAAAACTCTCTAAGATGACTTTAATATTAACCTTGTGCCAGTCAGACCATAGTACATCAACACAGAGCAAAGTCAGGCCCTGTGCCAGGGTTTGTTTCTCTTATTGCTGTAGTAACAGGTGGGCTTCTAATTGCTCCGGGGTTTGACTTTCAACACACGAACATTCAAGAACATAGATAGACGCAGGCCATTGTAGTACAATGCAGATCTATTTCTGAACTTGCCTTGCAAAGCATCTGAGCCGCTGTGACATTTTAACCCATTGTCCTCATCTCCTGGCATCAGGCCGTCTCAAAGTGGTAGGAAGATACAGAGCGTAGAGATATATAAGCAAACAATTCACATGAGGTGCCTCTGGGAAATGTGCTATTGTACATCTGTGTTCTGTGATTTCTAGTGGTAAAAGGTTCTGAAAATAGTAAGGAGGTTTAAACAGCATCTCCTTAAAGTTTGATTTGGTTTTCAAGTTCTATTGGTCTTAATTCCCATAAAAGGAATGGAATGATATAAACTATTCCAGCCCTTCATGCCTGTCTTATTTCCTGCCTTAAATCACTTTCTTTTTCTTGTTTAAGCTTCTATTTAGGGAGCAATAAATCTAATTCAGACTAGAAGTAACAGTAAGAGGAAGAAAGTCGTTATTTAAAGTTATAAAGAGCAATTTCTAGACAGAAACGCACAGAAGCTTTCTCTAAAAGAGCACAAGAGTTCATCATAAGACTCTTATCTCATTATGGAGTTATATTAAACTCAAAAGCTACACTCACTGCCACATGTGGATTGTTTAGGAAGCAGGAGGCAGAGACACGAAGGACCAACAGTGGTTATTTGTCTGTCAGCAATTTCTACTTCAAGCCAGAAATAGAAACAAGATCTTTTATATATATATACATATATATATATATTTTTTTTTTTCTTTTTTCTATAAATATATATCAATCCAGTAAAGACAGACCTCTTAGGCCATGGAAGTCATGAGTTCAGGATCAGTCTGATCATGTGAGTGAAGACAGATGGATGGATAAAAAGAAATCAGTTTAGACTGATGTCACGGGTGGAGGAGGAAGCTCCTGTTTGGGTGCAGATCAGGCGTGTTTAGTTTAGAGGCGCCTTCCTGTTAGTTGATTCATTGTAGTGTCTTCAGTTGAGTGGTACATATCTTGGATGATAACTATAAGACATGACAAGCATATTTATACTGTTTGAACATTTTTACCATTTTGAAAAAGCACAAATATTAACGTTTATTTTTATGTGTTAGACCAACACAAAGTACTACACAATTGTAAAGAGGAAAAAAAAAAAAGATCTCCTCAGATGGAAGAAATTATATGTATTTGTTTTGATGACAACCTAACTTTCAAACAAAACGAGTAGTGAACGAAGAAAAGAGACAGTTCTGTCTCTTCTTTCCAGCCAGGGAAAAGGATAAACAAACTAGGGGAAGCATATCACGGTGGCAGAAGTATGTTTGGCCTGATAACTCATTTGCCTGGGAAATGTGTTTTCTATTAAGCAAAAGGGAGGAGGTAGTTGAGGTGAACCTGCCAATCAGAGCTCTTTTAAGTTTACATCAGCTGAAAATATAAACAGCAATTGTATTGTGCTGTTTCTATTGAGTTGATCTTGCCACACCGAGCAGCTTTAGTGCTCATCACAATTTTCCGATTCTCTGCTCAGTTAGGCTCTTGCTTTGGCAGCATAATTTACCTTTCTAAAGCTGGTGACAAGGCGTCATGACTGTTTTCTGTGTAAACACCATACTGCACTCTGCACCAGGACTCCCACCAGGCGAAGCACACCCACTCTTCAGTGTTTACTGTGAGGGATGTCAGCGTAAACAGATGTAAATGCTTGTTATCTAGCTATTTTATTTGTTAAAGGAAAAAAAAAAAACTATCCAAACTACTCTGGCCCTGTGTGAAACTGTTAAATCCTGAATTACTTGTGATTACCCAGCTTTTCCCACAAAGTTCAGATTTTCCATCCAAACAAAATGTTAAAAATGTAGGCTCATGAAATGACTTAATTAGTTGTTTGACAACATGACGTAGGCTTAAAGATCTCTAAAAGCAACAAATTATGTCAAAATCAAAGAAATTCAAGAGCAGATGAGAAAGTAAGTCAATGACCCCTATCAGCCTGGACAGGGTTGCAAGCCATCGATCTCCTGTGAACCATTATTGACTTGCAGAGAAAACATTAGTAGTAATATGCTGGTATAAGTTCTCAGTCCTCCAGGACATTCCTGAGTACTTGGGTAGGAGCTTTTAGACTTCTTCTCTAAAAGCCTCTAAAGCCGTTCTTGAAAACCTTTGGCCTCTAACTGAGAGTCGAAATATCTTCAAAAAAAAGAAGAGAAAAAAAGAAATGTGAGCCTCATTTGGTTCAGTAAATATTAGTATCCATGATTAAACAATAAGAGACAGACTAAAGAATGGAAAATTTCCAAGGCCAAAACTATGACTGACTAAAAAGATTACAAATGCCTCTTTCCTGTTCCCCTAAAAACATCTTGATGAAACTCCAGACTTGATGAAACTCCAGACTTATTGAAACTATTCTGCACACTAATGAGAAACAACTGTGGAACTCTGTGGATGCTATGAACTCTGTTACCTCTAGTCCAAAGCTAAAGCAGCTTTCATGTAAAAGAACATAACACATAGAGTCAAACATGGTGGTGGTAGTGTGACGTTCTGGAGCTACTTTGCTACTTCTGGACTATGGAAGCTCGCTGTAATAGGTGGAACCATGCTCCCTAACGAAAAACCCTGAGGAGGAATGTCTGGCCATCAATTTAGGAGCAAAGTTGTATTGCACCTGCAGGAACACACTGGAAAGGCCTCTCTTGATTGATAATAGTTAGTAGAGAGTTAAAAAGCAATCAAGCAGAGTCCAAAGTAGTCTTCAGGGAAGACAAACAGAGATTTAAATTCTCCAGATCCCTCTCCAGGAGTCTACAGTCAGTCACTAATCCTCAGATTAACGTTGTAGTCCCAAGTAAAGCTGTATGGTTGTAGAGACTCTGGACAGGGCTACCTGTCTGAGATCTAAATGTGTCGATTTCTGGGCTTGATGTGGTTTCATTAAACTAAATAGATCAGTCTTGGGTTGAATGTATTATACGAGTCACATTATAATGACATCGGTATATGGTAAGTGTAAAACATACACCATAATATCTTACTTTTTATGATCACTGTGATAATGGAAATCAGAATGTGTTGTGGCATGATGTAGAGCAGTTCCCAGGCTTCTATGTTTGCATGCGTTAATCTTGAGTTCGTTGCTGGTCTTGTCAAGCCGGTATTGTGTGAATAATTGCAGGTGGGAAAAAAAAATAACCTGCACGGTTCTGTCTATTCAGGTTGGAATTACTCAGAAAGCTGACAGTTTTTCTTTTTATCTTTGAGGAAGTGCTCTGATCAGTGTGATTATCTATATAGGTCATTTCTCTGCTCTGCACTTCGAACTGTAAACTGCAGAGCAAAGTCCGTGAATGTGTTTGACAAACTTTCCCTTCCTCTGTTCTCTGTGTCTGTGGAATATAAGCTAGTTAATATTTATGCAGCTAAGACATTTGAGGCACAAATATCTAAAACCAAAGTATTACATTGCTCTAAACTTGATTTGTTGCAAATGATTTTTACAACAAATATATGACGTTCTCAGACATTTACACTTTTGCAAATGTTTGTGAAGGTATTGATCCAACAGAGACACTAATCACTTTAATACTCATGTTTCTTATACAGGAGCTATAGGTCTGTCCAGAATCAGCCCCCTGGCCTGTTGGTTCAGCTCCATGCTCCACTGCTTCGGGGGAGCAGTACTGTCAGGGCTCATGCTGGCTGAGCCACCAATTGCACCTTTGTCCAACAGCGACAATATTCTGCTTGCAACATTCATCTGGTAAATGACAGAGGCTGGAACAGTGCATAGAATGGGCTTTTGTCTGTCTAGATGTGTCCAAAGCAAGTTTAGGGAGAAGAGAAAATAGGAAGAAAGGAAAAAAAAAGTTTATGTTGCCAGATAAAGGTGACACACAAATATAACTATCCCTGAACTTGCTTTGTTTTTGAATCAGGGAGAGCCTGACAAGTGGGAGACACAACAGGTCTCTTGACTTTGAAAACAAAGCCTTTGGTTCCCTCTGCTGGTTTACTATAAAATTACACCTTAGCACATATCTAGCACTATGTTGGTAAAGAGAGGTACCACACTGACACAGCAGGGTAAAAACACTTCAGTTTACACAGATCAGTCAGAAGTTTACACTCGTGACCATAAAAGTAATTAATTATGGGTTTTTGACGATGCATTAGAAAGTTCTTTTTACAACTTTTATAATTATACAACATGCTACAACTTAGTTATTTTTTTATAATTTGGCACTCATTATGAAAGTTGGAATTTATTGTGTGTTTTTACTTACCTGCTTATAGTCTAAATTGTACATGATGCCTCAAAAATATATTGAAAGTGAAGGTGTTGAGACATGACAAACTTTGAAGAAGTTGTCTTGACTTGTTAGATGGTGATTGTATCTATTTTTAAAATAAAATCAGCACAGTTAATTGAGGCACAAATAATTAATAAATTTTTTAATACTATTTCTGCATTTATTTAAAATTTTTTGAAGAATACAAATAATTATTTCATGCGTTATCTATTTAATGCAATTCGGCACTCTTCACTCTCCATTAACATTTGCAGACATTCCCCCAAATTAATACGATAAATATTTTTTAACAAGTTGCATAGATAGCTTCTTGACTCCCTAAACCCAGGATTGACAATATAACTCTGATTAGATATTTAATTTTCAAAAACTAACAAATTTCCGCCAAGTAACAAGATCATCCATCCATCCATCCATCCATCCATCCATCCATCCATCCATCCATCCATCCATCCATCCATCCATCCATCCATCCATCCATCCATCCATCCATCCATCCATCCATCGGTATGCTGTTAATTGTAACTTGTTTATGGCTACAAAATAATGTTTGATTCTTTATTCAATTTCCCCCTTGGAGAAAGAACTGTTTAAATGCATTATTAAGAAGCCAAAATTAATAAGACATGCATCGCCATGGTAGGCATGTGTATTGTGTTGACCAGAACTGGATGTCTGTGCCAAGTTACCGGAGCTTTATTTGTCTCTACAGGTACTTGATATTTTACTGCCCCATGGACATGTTCTACAACTTCACACGTGTGGTGCCCGTCAGGGTGGTGCTGTCAGCGATGAAGGAGGTGACCAGGACCTGGAAGATCCTTGGGGGCATTACTGAGGCACAGGATAAGTACCAGGACAACCTGCTCGTTATGATAGCCGTCGGGTGGGCGAAAGGTCAGTAGGCGATCTGAGTTATGCCTTGTTTTCATGTGATAGATATGAAAACATTATTTAGCTTTGAAGTCACTATAGATCAGGTAAATTGTGTACTTATTTTTGTGTTTTAAAGGCATGACTGTTTTTTTTGCAGGTGCTGGAGGTAGCCTCATCAGTAATTTTGAGCAGCTTGTCCGGGGTATATGGAGGCCAGAGACCAACGAGCTAATTAAGATGTCCTAGTAAGTCTTCTCCAGCAGGTTTGCATTGCGGTCGGTGTTTGCATGTTTCCTGATTGGAGGAAAAAAAACATACTTGTTTTTCTACCATACACTCAACCCTAGAGTTCTGACAAGAATGTAGCTCACACAGCTATGACCACCACAGGTGAATAACAGGGATTATCTCTTCATCTGTTAGTAGATGTGATAAACAAAGCTGATGTTTTAGAGCATCAGAAGCATTCAAGCGCATTTGACAAGGGTGTTTGTAGTAATAGGTTAGGGCATTTCCAAAACTGCTGTCTTTATGGGTCGTGGCACTCTGCAGTTGTCAATATCTGTCAAAAGTTAGCTGATACATTTAGGGATCAAAATCTGATCTGATCATTTTCAGATGGTGTGGTTCGCTTGATACTGTATTCTTTGATACTGTGTCAAACAATCCAAACCATTTGAAAAACTTGTTTACTACTTGTTATGTGGTGGTGCAGCATTAAGAACCTGTGATGCAAGCGACATGAAAGCGTCTAAAGACATGAGCGCAACTTACTTCTTTGCAAAATGTAAACAAAAATAGAGTGGTGTCATATTTTAGCGATTGCAAGATTACTTTTTTGTCTTTAGTAAAAGACTACAAGCCATTTTTCCGTCTCGCTTGAAACGCACATTTACTTAGATCGGCCTGCGCTTTAGTTTGCTTCCTAATTTCAGAACGGTGTCCGGTCCGATTGACATTCACTTATCCAGTCAAACCACACCAGAGATCACTTCAATTGAACTGAGATCTAGGTTTTCAGTTGGGACAGAGTGAAAGGATCTGCTGCTGGCATCTGGCTGCCAGACACCACAACACACCTTCAGGGGTTCTAGTTCTTAAGAAGCACAGCTTGGACTCCTTTCAGTCAATTAATTACGCAGTCTTATAAAAAGTTATGACTGATTTCTGTTCTGGATCAGCCTAAGATTTTTGATAAATACCCACCTGGTTTCCATGGAGTGCATTATATGGGAACCATGTTTTTAAGGTTTCCCTCTGGGTACAGCACATTATGATATTTATCTTTGAAACGTGTTACTTGTATTAAATGCCATGTCTCAAAGCTTTAGGGCAAAGCAGTAAACAACATCAGGCAGGTGACCATGATGTTATGCTTGAATGTTGTAGCTTTCTGTACCAATGGAAATGATCATTTTTCCAATACAGTGCTGCAATTTATTTGAAAGTGTTTTACAGCAATTGAGCTAAGAGAGATAATGCACCAATGAGCTCTAATTATGCTCACAGGTTTATGATTTTGGGAGAGGGTTCTGTTCAGTGTTTAATACGTCCTTTCTCATCATTCATGCTGCAGCACCAGCTTTTGCCACGTTTTAGTTACAGATAATGTGATGCATGACGATGCAGAGCCAAGAGGCAGCCTGTAAACAATTTGGACTTTTGTAATTTTGCATGCAGAACATCTTGCATGTCTTCAGATATAGATAAGTGTCGGCAGGCTTTGCTGTTGAGATAATAAATATTTGGATGTGTTGTTTTTTTCTTGTTCATTAGAATATTCTGTCTGATGTTTTGTCAATTTCAGCCCTACAAAGATCACCCTGTTGGGGGCGGTGCTGTTTGCTCTGGAGGAGGCCGAGTACCTGCCAGTGGAGAAAAACCACCTGATGCTTTTCTACACCCTCTTTACTGTTATCAACAAGGTCAGTGTCTTGGACCGCATTCACACTATTGGAATTCAACCCTGAGAGTCGCATGCAGAACCGGGAGATGTGTCTAATAACATCTATTTGGCACTCTCCTTTTTATTAATTGAAGCGAACCTTTGATATAGCAAATGTTTTGTTGCCACAGCTCCGGCCAGATCTTTGATGTTTTGTCTTTTAAATGACCTTTCTCCCTTCGCTGTTTTTTTTTTAAAGTTTTTACTGCGGTGACTCACATTAGCTTCGTATTACCCCAGGGCTGGAGCTTTTGCATCATTTTCATCAGCTTGCATCACCCACTTTTCTCTTCTCTGGGAAACTTGTGCTCATGACTCAGACACAGATAAATCTATCACATCTTCTTTCAACTTTTGCTCCAGTTAGCTCCCACTGACTGATCCGTCAAATTACCAGCAGCCCGTTTCATCAGATTTAAGAGCTGTGTCCAGGCCTGATGTTTATTATTTTGTTTCTAACGGCTTACACTTTACGCAGTCATTCACTAATGGAAATGAACCACTAATATGTGCTTTTATGCTTATTGAGCAGCCATCATGTTCTCACTGAAAAAGCACCCCTTGGTCATTTAGAAGGTTTTAATATTTAACAAAGACATATATTTAAAGTTTGCATTTCTGCTGTTTGAATGTAATGATAATTTGTGCACTTTTTTAGGTTAGTTTGTATGTAGAAGAGGTAGCAGTCTGTTTTTTTATAAATTGACATGATTTGATGAGACCGTCATATGATCGGCAGTGTTTAGTTAAAATACGGAATCATATTCTACATACAAAGATTCGAGAAAGGTGCCTGCAGTTCAGGCATTTTCCTGTAGTGGTTGTGTAATCTGAAATGTTTCTGTGTTTTCTTTTAATCTCCCTAGAAATGAGAATTTCAGTGTTTTTGCGTTTACAAATTCCCTGCGGTCCGGTTGAAAAGTAATGAACTGTTTGGGCAACTTCTCTCATCTGATTTCTCTTTTTCTTTGCTTTTCTTCAGTGCCGGATGATGCTGACGGGGTCCTCCTACTTCCCCTTCGCCCCCATGGAGTGGCTCCTGTTTGAGGTCCTCTTTATGGGACGTCTCCCCAATTTCACTCTGAGACAGATTTGTGGATTCATCATGGTGGATAACGGCAGAGCCAGAGTCACTCGTGCAAACAAAGATTGGAGGGAGAACAGACACAACTGCCCTTCGCCTGTTAGAGGCACGCGCAGAGGCAGAGATGAGGCAGATGGAAAAAAATACAAATAAACAGCTTTTGCCTTGTCGCACCTTTTTATCTGAATCCTTTACGGTTCAGATTTGTCACATTGAATGTTGACCTAGACTTTGTGTTCCGTTTCTCTCCGTTTGAGAAAAAAATGTTTTAGTTCTCATGCCTGAAAAGATATATTTTCTAAAGTATTTCTTACGTATTTCTCAGGGTTTTAGCTATAGAAGAAAGAAAACATTCAATAAGAGATGAGTTAAGTAAGCTCTGGATGTTTCTCTGGGTTAAATACCCTCTCCTTAAAGAACAGTGAAGTGCATGCTGTTGGAGGTGAAACAAACACCATCCATTGGTTGATTGCACACTTGCAGTACAAAGTATAGCTTCTTTATTTTAAAATATTTATTTCAGAAATGAAATGTTTATATACGCCAAAGCTTTGGGACCAATGCTGTATGCCTGTTGAGAATTTCTGTATATTTTGCTCCATGTAAAGGCTATTTTTATTTATTTTATTTTTTATTTTCACAGGTTTTACACTTTCTAAAAGAAATTATATTTGATTAGACTCTGATGTTGTATTATATTTATACAAATCAACGGCACTATTGAATGTAATATATATTTGAGAAATGAAATACATTCACACCTTTCTGGCTTGAATGCAAACTAAGCGCATGAGAATAAATGGGTTGATTGGAGCTAATTATTTCTATGATTTGATTTCTTGATTCTACCTGCCATTTTAGATACCCTATCCAGTTTTTTAAACCCAGAAGACATCAAGTTCTCTTAAATGCTTTTCAAGACGTCTAATTAATGCAACATCAGACATTCTCCTAACCGCTGCATGCATGTGTCAGCAAACAACTTATAGTGACTTTTCGCTGCTCTTAAGTTGATACAAATCCTCAGAAGTAACTTTTCTTAGTAGACTGAAACCTTGCATCATCGTAACATCAGCACCTGATTGATACCTCACTCTCTCTGAAAAGCTGCTGGAGAGAAATGCCTCAAATCCCCCCCCAATTCTCGTCTGCGTAACCTCAAACGTTGGAGCGGCCCACCCCCCTACCCTCTCCCCTCTGCGAATGCAAATTAAAAACCGAGGGAGGGCGTCGGGAAGAAAAGAGAAGAAGATCAAAAGAGATACTGGTGGAGGTGATGTACCTGCTTTTAAAATGTCCGCATATGTCGTGTGCGCGCGTGCAGGCGTGTGCGCGTGCGTGTGTGTAAGTTAGAAGCTTGGATTTTAGTGTTGGCTTGCTGGGCTTTTGTTGTGGTGTCCTTCCTTAATCTTCCTTAATTTTGAACTAATTGAATAAAAGAACACATACTTTTATCCACTGCTTTTTACAACCAGAACAATTATGTCATTACACAGCTCACAGCCTAAATGTTATGATTCAGTTGTCTTAATGAAATCCTGACTTGCATAAAACCCTCACACAGTCTCCCCCCCAACACACATCAATTCCTCAATGAACAAAGCAGCCCACCCGTCACTGAAAGCCCCTTGTTTTGTTGTTTTTCGTCGGCTTTTTGTTCCCTGTTTTCCATTCTGAAACATAGATGTGTCAAGGTTTAGCCATGCAGTTGTTCATTCACATACCCTTCCGTTAGCACTTTTATATCTTTCTTAAACATTGATGAGATCACGTTGCTTTTACATGAAGGTTTTATGAGTGCAATGTTGGTTTTTGATCTGAGTCAATAATGTACGCAGCCCTGTCGGGTGACATAATTTATGTGAGAGAAATTCTGCAATAAAAAACAGCATCTGAATAGTATAACTAAAATATTCTAGATTTGACTGAATAATGTGCACATTCCTAAAACTCCAGGTTTTCTGAATCACCTTTTATTGAAACTTTACCGGTTTTTTGGTACAAGCATACCAAAATATTTCACTCTCCCTTGCATTTTCTCTAGACATCTAGATTTGGAGGACATCAGAGATTTTCAATGAGATGTAGTTCTATGTTGTCTGGTTCCTTCCAAAATCTTATTTTCATCAGAGAACGGTATTGATGTGTTGATTTGAATGCATTAAATCACTCCTTATTGTCAAGTTTCTAGCAGACATTGGAAGGTTTTGGGACAGAATCGGCCAATGTTAAGAGCTGCTCTTGAGGGGTTTTTTCATTAATAAATGATGCTACCAGTAGGTATGGCGATTTATAACATTTTACATTTTCAGTGCTCTACAGGCATTTGGACAATTATATATTGAGAGAAGTGTAAAAGCAGCAGTTTGTAGGCAGGTCGAACTTTTTCTGAATCATAAACACTGTTTATTTGTGAAACCTGTCTGTAAATTCCAATAAAAGGTCGCTGACATCCTCGGCCCATGGAATACCAACTACAACCAACCCGATCACAAACAAACAGACCCACAAACGGTGAAAGCTGGTGTCTGGAAGCCATCAGGAGGAATGTGACACTGGGAGCGTGACCGTTTGTTCCGCTATCTTCTTTGCTTTTTGTTTTTCTTTTGTCATCATCATGACCTGATGTCATCTGAGGACATCACATTCACTCAGAAAGGTCAAGCTTTTACCATATTCAAGTAAACATCTCACAGTCTTTTTTTTTTTTCTTTTTTCATTTACCGACAGAGTACAGAGTCTCTGCTGGTAAATACAAACTGAGCTTCTCAGACTTTCCGGGAGGGATAATTTTGTATATTTTTTGTAAACAACCTACAATTATCTATTTACAAATAAACAAAACTTGTATAACATTGGCATCTGACATCCGTCACTGGGAGATTTTTAATTTTCTTGCAGGTACTTTCTTCTTCAAATTCCTTTTACAAATTTTTAACTGGATTCAGATCTGGGTGTTTCTGTACTTGGATGTTTTTTGCTCTACAAGTTATAGGTTAATAAGAGTCTTTTGAGACTTACGTCAGTCTTCATCATATTTACTAGAAGTACAAAATGTTATGACAGGCATTGCTTTTGGGCTGCTAATGCACTGTAATTTTCCTTTAACTGAAGTTTCTGATTTGGATCCAGTCACTGAATTTGTTTGGCAGTAACTTTCCAGTTACTGCAAACTTCACCAGATGTAATATTTAAAGTCAGGGTGTGGAAATATATTTATAAATCTAAGGATACATCCAATACACAAGCTTTGTCTACAGTCTAATATGCTGTTTTTTGACGATTATATTTTCAAAACAAAACTAATTTAAAAAAAATAAAAAAATTTCTCTATGGCGTAGTACTGCTTCTGTTTAATAACAACGAACCTATAGCTGATGCCAGTTAATTAAAAGCAACTTCTTGTTAGTAAATTCAGGTGCCAAAGCTCAACACAATCATACCTACATAGCTGTCTAAAGTTATGGCTGCAAATGACAAGTTGAACTCTGTAATCTTGTTTTAACAATTTAAATAACAGTATAAGTTCCAAGGGCAGGTGTGCGGTCAACACTTTATAATCTGAGGTTGAGATCTGTGGCTATGTAAAGCCTGTCCAGTTGACAACAGTGCATGTCCTGCACTTCAACTGCATTTTGTTATCTATCAGGCCCACAACAGTGGAAATGTTCCCTGGAATTTTTATTTTCATAGCAACCTGGAACTTGCTATCAAATTTAAGACATTTGCATCCAGTGCTAGTCTTATTTTTTAGTTCCTTTGGTAGTGGCTTTGCAAAAATATGTATGCACTCTTAGTTATTTTTTTTTAAATTTCACTACGATTATTAGTTAATTTATTCCTTGTGAAACTAACTTAGATATTTATGAATAAAACCTTATAACATCACAGCCTTTTTTTTTATTATGAACAATTTTAGTTTTTTGCTGCAAAATCCAAGTGGTGAAGATTTAAATAACAACTAAAATAATGATAATAATAATAATAATAAAAAAAACCTGAGAAACAGATTCTTCAGTAACTTTACTCTCTGAGTGCATGACAGTGTTTCTGTGTCTGAGACGTGCAGGACAGGTGATTACCACTTGGTGGCGTGAGGAGGCATCATCTCTGAAGTCTTGATGCCTGGGAACTGACAGGCTGGCTACCAGCTGCAGGCAAGAAAAGGATGGCGACAGGAGGGGACTGTGTCTGCAGAGCCAGGGAAGTCGGTGTGTGTGTGCGTGTGTGTGTGTGTGTGTGTGTGTGTGTGTGTGTGTGTGTGATCTGGTTTAGCTCGGCCTGTGAGGACATGTAATAACATTGTGGATGCTCAAAAAATAGCAGACTACAGAGTGAAAAGTGGGCATATTAGCTGTCACAGTTAAACTCTTAAGTGTTTCAGAAGAGAGAGTATGTTCAGAGTGATTTAGTTTCTGGGGTATAGTTTTCTCTAAAATGCATTTATTGACCATATTTTGTTACTTTCACTTTTTATTATAAAAATTATATACATATTCACATACAAAAATGAACCTACTTCCATTTTAAAAATGAGAAATGTTGAGTGGCGACAGATAGGGCTGAGTGCATCACAAAACGTGCAGAGAGCAGCCTTGCATAAACACAAACGAAATATGTTTTTTATACGAGAACATTATATTCAAATCTAAATCAATTCAAAAGGATCTAAAGACAGTTTCTATTTTATTAAGAAAATGTCCTGTAAAACCTAACTCATTGGGTATTTGAACACATCCCAGAAGTTTGCATTACTACCTTTAACAGAACAGGTCTGGAAACATTGTTAATCTTTGAGTAGCAGAATCTAAGGCCAAAGTTTAATTCTGATCTCACATCTTGAGCTTTTCTACTGTTCAAAAGTGTAAACATAACCTTTCTTCAATCTATTTTACCATACTTTCCAATTGAATTTATGTTCCCTTTTATTAAAGGTTTTATAGGCTCTTGTGGCCTTTATTTGAGCGTAGTTCAACAGGAAAGTAGGTCATGAGGCAGGGGGAAGACAGGCGGCAAAGGTCATCAGGCCAGGAATCAAATCTGTGACGTCCACATCATGGACTGAGGCCTCCTTATGTAGGTTGTACTTTACCACTGCACCATCACAGCCCCCTATTATTCTTATGTTCCCTCAGGTTTCATACGTTTGTCCGTGTACAAGCACCAACTTTCA